GCTTAAAAAACATTTTGAGCAGTTCTGGAGGCTAGGAGATGTAAGAGCAAGGCAAAGGCAGGGTCAGTGTGTTGAAGGCCCAATTTCTGACTCAGATGACTTCTCAGTGTCTTCATACAGTGGGGCGGAGCTGCTTCTCCCTCGGGCCTTTGTAAGGACACTAACCCAGTCGTGGGGCTCAAGATCGCCCTTGTGATTGAATTATATTCATTGACCTCCCTCCTAACCCATCACTTTGGGGTTAGAAGAGTAACAGTTTTGGGGGAACATGTTCAGACCATAGCGACTACAAGTAGCATATATGCAAGTGAAGTGAGACAGTGATAAGTCCTGTTCCTCAGTCACCAGTTCCCCTTCCCAGAGACAACACTATCTGTGTGTCCTTCCAGGGCAGCTACGTACATGAATGAGCAATAGACACACACAGGTGTCTGTTTACACAGAGGGTAGCATACTGGGCCCTCTTCTCCCCTTGCTTTTTCCATCTAGCAGTCTAGCCTAGAACACATCCCAAATACGGTTACCATGTTGTCTTTGCTAGCGCTTTAACGTTCCATTGCACAAGCACAGGATTTACCTAACCAGTGCTCTCTTGAAGGCATTAGTATAGTTTCATATCTTTTACTGTCTGAGACAATCTTGTAGTGAAAGGCTGACGCATATCATCATGCACATGTACGCCCATATGGTAAATTCGTGGCACTGGGGTTGCTGAGGCAAAGGGCATGTGCATCTTAGGTGACCTGGAGCACAAGTTTCCTTCCTATGCCAGCCCTCATGGCGACAGGACTGTGTCTGATTCCCCACACCCTGCTACAGTGACAGGGTTGAAACGGCATCTCCTTGTGATTGTAGCAAGTGTGAATAATTGTTTTTTTCCTCCTTTTCCATGTTCCTTGGATTCATGAGACCTTTTTTTTTTTCCTTCTTAGCAGTGCTAGAGAAACCCAGGGCCCTGCGTGTGCCAGCCAGATGCTCTGCCACTAGGCTACACATCCCCAATCTGAGGATTTTCTTGTGTAATTCATCACCTGGAACACTTGGGATTTTCCAGAGCTATAGACTTTGTAGAAAGCGTGACAGTGACCTCTGCCTAGGGAGAGCTGCAAATGCCATTAAGAATTCCCTGCTTAGCCAGTCAGATGCCTGCCTGAAATCCCAGCACTCTGAGAAATAAGAGGCAAGAAGATTGCAGGTTCGAGCCTAGCCTGGGCAACTTAGGGATTTAGTGAGATCCTCCTTAAAAAATAGAAGTGCCGAGAATACAGCTCAGCATGAAGGCCCTGGGTTCAGTTACCAGTAACACACATAAATGAGAAATCTCCACTTAATAAAACAGAAGTAGAAGGAGAAAAAAAAGAAGTCCTTACTTTGCCCTAGCACTTCAAGTCCACATTACCCACTTAGATCCTTGTCTTCGAGGCCCATTACTTGAGGCCAGTTCTAGGGAGCACCGGGACTAGGCAAGCCCCTGCTCCTCGGGCAGTAGTAGTACCAGGAGGGGCCCGCAGGTGGCAGGGTGGTCCGCAGCCAGCCTTAAGAGCAGCCAGAATCCAGGAATTTATGGTTCGCAGTTTCCTGACCTGCCAGCCATGGGTCAGCTTAGTGGGGGCGGGCGCCTAGCCTCTCCACCCACCTATACTTGCTGCCATTTTTTAAATTGGTGAGCATTTTAAGATCACCAGCAGCTGCCTTGAGAGGTGCTTTAAGAGACCACACTCCAAGATGACAGCTTGGGTCTCCTCCCTCCAGGAACTAGCAGGAAGAATTTATATACCATGGCCTAGGATGCTTTGGTTTTCCTTAATTGCCGAGCCCCACTTCCTGCCTCTGTCAGCCTAATCTCCCACACCCTTCCTGTGAACTAGGAGGTCCCAGGAGCAGGTCCTTACCACCTCTTTCCCACTCACACTGGGAAGGATAGGGGAGAAGAGAGAGCCAGAATTTGAGAAGCCTTTGGCTGCCTTCCTTTGGGCCTGGGCTCAGGCTGACTATTCCACCTCCCTCGCCCAACTCCTGGTTTCTGTGCTAGAGGCCTACCCAGCAGCTCCCTGGGCTAAGGGGCCTTGCTGTTCTGTGCAGGCTTCCCCCAGCTCTGGGGCGGGCCAGGCAGAGGACTTGGCTGGGGGGAAGAGGGAGGGAGTGGCAACCGTGTCAAGGAGTGTTGGTCTCTTCCCAGCCACCGCGCACCCTCTCAGCCCGCAGGAAGCTAGTATATTTGGGTTGTTAGCAGCACTGGGAGGGCCTTAGGAGAACTGTTCCCTAGAGCCAAAAGCTCTTTTGGTCCCCAGATCCTCAGGGACTGCCTGTTGCCTCTCATTCTGGGGTGATATGGGGATGGAGTGGGCAGGGAGAGCCAGAGCAGGGGAATTTCAGCCCATCCTGCACTGGTTTGGTCTCAGCCAGGGAGGCGAGGTTTCCTGTCTCAGTGACAGTCATCCTGGCTTCTGTGCCCCAAGGGTGGTTAACCCCTGCAAGACAGTACTTGCAAGACAAATCAGGCTCAGCCCCTGCTGGCAAGAGCTGGAGGGCAAGGTGGAAGCTATGGGGGTGTGAGAAAGGGCTGGCAGGAGGGGGAGGCTGTCCTTGTCCTTTCCCCAGATCATTTCCCAACAGTGCCGGAATTTGCATACTCAACTAGTTTCCCCAGCAGCTTCTTGGCTTCTGGAACCAGGAAAACAAGAGGAGGAAAGAGCTGGCTGGGCAGCTATCTACTCGGAATCCGATCCCTTCCAGCACAGGTGTCCCAGCTTTGGTTTCAGGAGTGACATTCCATCCCTGCCCCCTGAAAGCTCGGATGGGGAGGTGCAGGGGCCCACTCAGCTGAGGCCCAGTGAGGGAAGTGAGTTGTTGAAGGCCACCCAGCTGGCTGGTGATGGTGGCTCATACCCAGGCCTCTGCCCCTCCTGCTGGCACCATGTGAACAGGTATTCTCTAGAGAGGATGGAGGAGCACTGTTTCCCTTCTACAGGTAAGGAAACTAAGGCCATCTGAGTAAACGCCGTCCGCCTAAGCTGTTTGAGTGGACTGTGGAGCAGGAGGTATGGGGAGGACTTTGGAGTTAAAAACACAACAGTTGTAAGAAACACTCTTGGCAGTGGGCCTGGAAGCTTCTGAATAGCTCTGCCTGGAAGCCAGATTGAGAAAGAGGCCTGCAGGGGAGGCTCAAACACGGGGTGGCCAGCCCGAGTGGGCTGCGCCTGTGGGGAAAACAGGATGTGAGCTCAGGCCATAGGAGGCACTGAACTGGCCTGAACCTCCCTGGGGCCCAGCTTTAGCTGGCACCTGCTCCACGATCCTTGTTCATGCCTATCGATGAGCCAGCAGGGCCAGACATAGCTCTAATGCCACACTCCCCCTTTCATTGGCTTCCTCTACATCCACTTAGCAAGACACCGGCTCAGGTCTGGGCAAGAAGCAGGTGTGAGCGAGCTTCCTGCTTTCCCTTCCTGGTAACCCCCAAGGCCTTCAGTTCCACTGTGGACATTTCAACTCCAAACTAAAAAATTCCTGTGTGAATGTTGTAAAGCTGAGAGTTACCAGGTCGGTGGAGCTGAGGGCACTCCCACTATCCCATCTCTGCAGTGGGCCAAGTTACTGCAAAGTGGAGTATGGGTCCTTTCCCTTCCTCGGGTGTATAGGTCAGGGCACCAGCACTCAAGGTCCTGCCCAGCCCGGCTTCCGAAGGATCTTGGGCAAGTCACTCAGCATTGCCAAGTGGCTGATAATGAACTGGATGGTCCGGTATTTTAGCTTCCTATCCCATAAAAAACAAACAGAGGCCCATAAATAGCCTTTTAATCTGGACTACAGTTCTTTATTGGAAAAAAAATGAAAATAAAGCAACAATAGATACTTCTTTGTGCAGAAAAAAACTTCCTGAGGAGGCTGGGACCAACAGGCGCAGGGACACCTTGAGTTTGTGTGGGAGGCGTCACTGTAATGCTTGTCAGAACCCTTTCCACACCAGCTCGGCGCCCTGCCCTGGGCTCAGGCTTCTTGAACATGTTCAGAGCACAGGAGGAGGCGGGATCGCCAGTGTGGCTTTGTCTCCCACAGGCTGCACAAAAGGAAGTTTTAAAAAGAAAATACAGATACTACAAAAGCTTCACAAGTCAGGCGAGATGTTCAAAGATCTAATAATTAAAAATTATTTTTCCCATTCCCCCTGGCTGATCATATTTGGGGGATCGTCTGGTAGCACCCATTTTCATTTAGATCTGTAACATTTGTGCCCATTTTGGATGGGGAGTGGGTGGAATAACTTCCTGCTTAGCCTCTTGCCTTTGGGTCTGGATGAGGAGTCTGAAGTGGTGGACGGAGGGAAAAGCCCACAGCACATATGTGAACACAGCCCACAGGCAGTCACACTAGAGGACCCGTAGTGAGAAACTACTATGTGCCAGGCATCAGGTCACATACTCAGCATGTACGATCTCATGTAAGCCTTACGACAACCCTGTAAAAGCTAGGTGCCACTATTCATTATCTCCATTTCATGGATGAGGAAACAGACCTAGTGAAAGACAGTCACTTGCCCCAGGTGACAGTCAGTGGCACAGCCAGTTGAATTTGGAACCTGGGGGCCACCCTGGCATCACCTCTGTAGGCTGTTGCAACATCTGGAAGGGGCCAGAGCTGAGCTCCCCACCCCAGCCCCACCTCAGCCAGTCATTGCCCACCTTAGGCCCTGGTCAGGGCTGAAACTGGGACTAGCCCCATCCTGACCCCAGGACACTACCCCTTCCCCACACTGACCTGAGCCCTGCCTATGGTCCCCATCTATCAAGGCCCAGTCCAAGACTTCAGAAAGATGCTCCAGCCTCAAGAGAGAGCACTTTTTTTTTTTTTTTTTGAGCACTTTTGGGAAGCTTCCTTCTAAAGGGAAGAGTTGTGTGGCGTCGTGTCCTGGGTGCAGGTAGGTCAGCCGGCTGGCCTGTGGGTGCCCATCACCGAAGTGTAACACCTAGAACCCCCAAGCATACAAAGATGACCACCTCTTAAAAGGCTCATATGGTTCTTTATTGATGTCTTATGGGAGGACTTCCCACTTAAAATACTTATTTCTATACCTGTACACAGCATATACATGTCCTCACACTTCTGGGGAAGGCAAAGATGGGAGCACGGGCCCTGGACCCCCGGCAGGGTGATGGGACAGGTGGACAGAGGAGACAGAAGTGAGATTAAGAAGCATCTTGCTTACTGACATGAAGCCTTGTGCCCTGAGAGCACACTGAGGCCTCATTGGCTTAGAGGAGGGCCTCGGAGGACAGGCACACGGTGCCCAACTAGCCAGTGCAGCTGGCGTCCCAGGGATGGGGCGGAGGTGGGGGCAGTGCACAGGGCCCCCGCCTGGGCCTCTGCTCCCCCAGGCCTCCCTCCCCGCCCTGAGAGAAAAGAGGGTTTGGGCCTCAGCCACAGACCGACAGCCTTACAGGCAGCGTCTCCTTAAATGACAGAGATACAATGTGTATCAACAGGGTGATCACTTCTGACCCACTCAGGCAATGGCCAGAGGTGCTTGGTGGGCCAGAACCAATCCTACAGTATGTTTGGTTTGGGGGTTCCCGTCCCTACTTGAGTCCTCCTTCTGTCCATCCCGCAGGGAGGGCCTCGGGGCTGGAACGGACCTCCAGACTGCAGCCTGGTGCCCCCTGTGGGCCACATGGCGGACCTATTCATGGAGCTGCTGGGACTTGTAGGAGAGGATCTCAGCAGCCAGCTGCTGGGGGTCCAGGAGCTGTGGGAAGCGTCCCATCACAGCCTCTACCAGGTGTGGGGGAAAGACGCCACACAGCTTGGTGTACACACTGGCCCGTTCTTTGGCCAGGCTGCCTACCCTGCCCCAGGAGCCCCTGGCAGTCCCAGGGCCTGGGACCGGGGTCTCCTGAAGGGCTGGGGTGGGTGGGGGCAGCTGGTATGGCTCAGACCAGTACTCTCGAGGAGGAAAGGCAGGTGGCACCGGACTGTAGTCAGCAGGGACACTAAAGTGGCCAGCACCTATAGCCTGTCCAAAGTTAGGGAAGGCAGGAGCAGCTGGGATCTCTGCGCCGAAGGCACGGTAGCCAGTATAGGGGCCCCGAGGTGGGCTGGGATCACCAGGGCCTCCCCCTCGCACACCCCACAATTCTGACATCTGGCTTTCTAGGGAGCCGATGCCAGAATCCAGGCAGTCCTGGGAAGTGTAGGGGAGGGAGTCCAGGGCTGGTGCGATCCAGTCTGTGGGCCCAAAGCCGCCGCCACTGCCCCCACTATGTGGGAGGCTCCTACCCGCCAGGGCAAAGCTCTGTGTCTGCCCCTCCTGGCGCGGCCCCGGGGCTGCCTGGGCCCTCAGCTTCTTCCCATCTAGGCTGCTCTGGTCACCCTCTGTGGGCAGGGAGCCAGACTGAGAAGAAGGCGAAAGCCGCCGGCTGCTTCTGTCCTTGGCTGGGACCCTCGGTGGAGAGAGGAGCGCGTTGGCGCGGAGCTCATCAGCCACAGAGCGCTGGGGGCGGCTCGGCCGCTCGGGGTGGAAGAATCGGCACTTGATCCCATAGGTACATTTCTTCCCTGGGAGAGAGAGGAAGAGCGGCTCTAAGCAGGTGGCACGTGAGCCTGGGGCTGGGAGGTCCAGTGGCAGTCAAGTGTGCCATGGGGACAGAGGCAGGCTTGGGTATGAGGAGGGCTATGGAGGGCAGACCTTGCTCTCATACCGTAGGGACAAGGCTGCTTCCGGTGCTCGGAAGGGAGTGGCTTCTTACGCAGGAAGTTGTCCAAGCTGGGCCCGTGCCGGCCCAAGGGATCGTCAGGGGGCATGAACCTGTGGAGGCCAAAAGGAACTCTGAGGAGGTGGGAGACATGAACACCACCTTCCAAATGCTAAGGTGTGGGCAGGATGGTTGGCTTTGCTAACCCTAAACCTAACCCTGGCCTTAACTCCATCTGCAGGTCATCCTAGAACTCTTGAGATCTTGGTGGGGTTGCTCCAGGGAAGCGGGGGTGCCCCAGTCCAGAGGGTCACACACAAGGGCCACCTTGAGGGCACCTCCCAGGCCAGGAGCTCTGAGGTCATTGGGAGGCTGTGACCTGAGTACCTGAGTCTCAGGCTACATGGGTCCCCGGCAGCCTCTGCTGGAGAGAAGCAGGGCAGTCAGAGTTGGTCCCGAACACAGCCCCCTCCCATCTCCAGGGCTACTGTGCCACTCCCAATCAAAAAGCCCGCCCCCCCACCTTCTGTTTGCGCTCCATCTCACTCCCAATGCTGCGTGGCACCCACACCATTCCTTCTACAGCCAGTGTCCAGGCAAGGCCCACCCTAACCCCATCCTTCCCAAGGGTGGCTCTGGCTGCCCTTCTGGACCCCCAGTCCATGGGGTACCCTCTGGCAGGAACATACTTGTCATTGACAAAGGAGTACATGAGCAGCCGCTCCTCGATGAAGCGCTTCCACTCCTGCCGCTCGCCCTGGAGGTCCCGGTACGTGTCATTGGAGACCACAATCCCATCGGACTCGTAGGCCAGCTTCACAATAAAGCGGTCATCATAGCACACCACCCGCTTGCCACCCACGCGACGTGATGGTGTGAACACCAGGATCTTCTTCTTTTCCAATTCCCGGAGGATGTGCTGGTCTAGGGATGACCAGACACAGTCATGGTGATCTAGAACCCAGGGCCAAGGCCCTAGGCTCCCTAAGCTCCTGGTGGCCAGGCTTGGGGGCTATTCATGCACAAGTTCACAGGGGCAAAAACTAGCTCTGCCAAGGTCACGGCTTGCCAGTTTGCTGCCTGGAGACCAAGAATACCCAAGCACGGTGCTTCACGCCCTTGCGGTAAGCACTCTGAGCCCGGAACTGGCCCTCTGCCTCTCCCTCCCTGGACGGCAGGCCTGTTCAAAGCCAGGGGGATGTAGGCTTCAGCTATTCTCCCTGACTGTCCTGTAGGGGTCTGGGAAGAAGAGTCTGGGTTCTGTCCCTTGGTAGGCAGGACAAGGCTATTAGCTTCCATTTGAAAGAAGCCCACAACGCAGCCAGACTGCTGCTACACCTCTAGATTTGTAGAGAAACAGACCTTAGTTTTTACTCCAAGGCTGGGGTGGGGGTCACCCTGAACCCAGCCCATTTCAAAGATGTGGAGCAAGTTGCTCAGAGCAGTGCTAATCCATCCTTGCCTGGGTCACAGAGCCAGCACGGTTTTTTGAGACAAACTCATAGTGGCCTTGAACTCACAGCAATCCTCCTGCCTCAGCCTCCCAAGTGCTGGGATTATAGGTGTGTGCCACCATGCCTGGCTAAACACAGCCAGCATTCTAGCCGTGGCTGTCTTGGCCCAGAGCCCACAAGTGTAACTACTAAGTTACCCTGCATCTCTGTCACTGGGGATGCTGAGGACATACCACCTGTAGGATGAGGGATGTGCCCAGTGTCTGAAGCAGAGGGCTGGACAAGGGGACTTCCAATGACCACTGTTCAGAGCAGGGCTGCTGGGCACAGCAAAAACTGGGGAAAGAAATGCTAGATCCTACCTGATCTAGAATTTGCCACCCCTGCCCACAAGATCTCTTCTGGGGAGAAACAGCCCGTGTGGCAGAGGGACTCTCCCACCTCCACAGTGTCCACATACCGGTGATGGGCACATCAGGCCGGGGCTGTTCCTTCCTCCAGGATGGTACGAATACTGTGATGTCCGTGTGACCCCGCTCCAGGAACCAGTTCACAGCCAGTAGGATGCCTCGGCAGGAGAAGACCTCCTTGTTCCCGTGGCTGGGAGAGACAGGAGGGGCAGGTTGGTCTATGAGAGCAGCCACAGGCGACCTTGCTAGGCTGGCCCTCTTGGGGAGCATAGGGGCTCAGGCTCTGGCCCTCTGCTGGTTCCCACAGTGCCTGGACCCAGCGTGGGGACTTTCCCTAGGATTCCATTTCCTGGAGAGAGAATCCACCCAGGAATCTGGTAGTGCTTGCTACCGACAGCGGGGGAGGGTCGGCGGGGGAGGGTCGCTGCTTACAACACACCGGGGGTGTGGGAAGGTGCTGGGAGACTCCTGGTTCCTGCCCCACCCAGGGAGCCACAGGGACCACAGGGACACAGATGTGCACACACACTGCCTGAGTCACCTCTCCTCCACTCTCCAGCCCTGTGCTCGCTCATCAGCAGAGGAGCGGGTGGGGGAAGCACCAGTCTGGCTAACTGGAGAGAAACCAGATTGTTCCGGATTAAAGTTCAGTCTGTGTGCAGAGCCTTGGGCTGGACCCCAGAGGGCGCAGGAAAGGGGCCGGCCGGCCTACCCTTCCACTCCAGCAGGCAGGAAATGACCGAGCCTTGAGGAGCTGTCACCATGAAAGTGAAAGGCTGCTGGCTGCTTTCCTCAGAATAGGCCCATTCCCTGCAATGCTGGCTCCCTCTCCCCTCTGCTCCCCCTAGTCCTACAGGGTGTGACCTGAGGCAAACAGATGGTCAGAAGCCACTCAGAGGTCAAGAAGTCCTAGGAGAGCTGGGATACAGGATGCCCTCCCTGCCCTGGTCTGGGACCAGACCTCACCTCACCCAAAGGTTGCTGGGCCCAGAGGAAAGCCTTGAGGTGGCGGTCAGTGGCTCTGACTCTGTTTCTCTGGGTGAAAAATGCACCCAGCAGCCCGCAGCTTCTTTGGTGGGACACCTTTCCTACTGGCTTGAGATCCAACTTGGTCTGGCAATAGGTAGGCTGGCTCCCTACCCAGCAGCCCCTGCCTCTCACTGGCCCCTTGGTGAACAACTCAGACTCACATTTGGCAAATTAAACAGAATAAATGTTATGCAAAAGAGACAAGTCCAGGACAGACCACATCCTGTGTGTGACTCTGGAAGGTGTGGGCAGTGACAGCTGGAGTCCTAAGAAGGTAAAGCAGGAGGTGGGGCACCTGGAGGGGGCAAGTGGGCTGCTTGGGGGTGAGGCTGGGGCTTCAGGGTCTAAAGGTCTCTGTCAGTGGTAAGGGAGACAAAGTCCAGCCCCCAGGCAGCACTCACCCCTGCCTGGTACCCCAGCCTCTGACAGCCTGCTTGAGATAAGAGTTAGCATTTATTGAAAGCAGTGAACCAGGCTATTCTAAGTGCTTTGCACTGGGTCATCTGGAAAGCCACAAAGACAGGACTGTCATTCCCATCCCCTCTCTCCTTGGTGCAGAAGAGGAAACTGATCCAGACAGGGTAACTTAGTCATCAGGGTCACACGGCAAAAATGGAGAGCAGAGCTGGCGGTCAGAAGCACTTTGCATGCTGATGCTTGGATCGGTACCAAGACAGGGACCAAGCCTGAGAGCAAGGAAGGTGCAGGGACAGTGGAGGCCAAAAGTACCACCTCATTCTTACAAGGCCCCTAGAGTGAGGGAATGGGCCCTGAGATCAAGGGCATCTGGCTAGCACTAAGAGATGGAAACAGAACCTAGGTCTGGGGGAACTGGATTGCCTTCCTGACCCTCCCAGAAGACTCAAGGTTTATTTGGGAGCAAAAAGCTCCAAGACTTGACTTTTTTTTTTTTTTTTGGTTTTTCTCCGGTCCTGGGAACCAAACTCACGACCTTGCGCTTGCCAGGCAGGCGCTTTGCCGCTGAGCTAAATCCCCAGCCCCCAAGACTTGACTTTGAACAAAGCTTGTTGAGCCGGGTGTGGTGGCACACGCCTGTAATCCCAGCACTCCAGAGGCTGAGGCAGCAGGATCCTTGCGAGTTCGAGACCAGCCTGGGCTACAAAGTGAGCTCAAGGCCAGTCTGAACTGCACAGGGAGACCCTGTCTCAAAAAGACAAAAAAACCCCCAAAAACCAAAAACCAAAAAGCTTGTTGAAAGGGGACAGCACACTGGAGTAAGAGAATGATGTATCTGGCAAACCGGTCTCTAGTGGTGCCTCCCTCCCTGGGTCCTCTGCTCTGTCCTCCCAGGTTTGTGGGGTGTGGCTGCCTCTGGTTTGGCTCCTTGTGCCAAGTGTGCAGCAGGCGCAAGCTCCACTTGCCTCCCTCTGTGACACTCGTGTGTATGCATGTGCCCCTCCTGGCCAGCAGTTTTCCATCTCGGGACTCCAAGGGATGCCAGGACTCCCGGGGTGTGCACTGCCTCTGGGCACTGAAATCCTGGCTGTGGACAAGTGTGCTGTCTGCTGCCCTCACAATGGGCACATTTCCCTTAGGAAGCAGCGAGGGCCCTTCTCCTGCCAGAAGCAGAACCCAGCAGGCCTGGAGCTCTCCTACCGCTAACTCAGTCCTTCTCCCTGTAATGAGGAAGCTCTACTGTGTGGGCACAGGAAACCTGGACGTCCTCTCACCCCTACTTACCCCCACTGAGTCCCACTGGTTCAAAAGGCTGGACCCCTATCCTGGCTAGCTAGACTTCTGGGATGAATAGAGGGAGACTCCAGCTTGGCTGCTGGTGCCCAGGACCGAAGACAGGGCTACGCCAGGCTCCCAGGTGAAAAGATCTGCTGGGGTTGGGCCTGACTAGCGGAGAAAAATTCCATAGAAGGAAACAGAGGTGAATTTCCCCACAATTTGCATACGGTAGGGGCTAGCCCGCCTGCCCTTGGGGGGAGGGGGCGGCAGGGCAGGAACCCGGCAGCAGCTGAGACAGGAAGTCTGAGGCTGGAATTCCCCTTTAGCCACTGCCGGGCTCAGAAAACCCCTGCAAACAGGCAGGCATGCAGGCAGGTGGTTTTATCTCTCCAGCTCGGCTCCCCTGAATACCCTGCCAATACCCTCCTCCTCCCCCCGGGCCCCTCCTTCTGCCAGGATACAAACACAGGCAGCACATGGCTGTCTCTAGGTGTAGCCAGTTCAGGCTCGTGTCCCCAGGGAAGATGTCACAGAGCGTTCAGCTCCTAGTCCAACTCGGGCTGGAGCCTGAGAGAGGACCCCTAACTCTCAAAGTACAGGCTGTGCTCTACGGCTCTGTGGCTTGGACACCAGTGCTGCTCAGGCCTTCTTCCAGGATCAGCCCATTTCAGAGATGGAAGACTGACCTAAGATGGTGGGAAGACAGCTCACCTGTGTACCTGCTAAGCTGGACCAGGACCAGCTGGACAGCTTACTCGCCCCAGCTTGGCTGGGAGTAGGTGGGGCCAAATGCCAGGTTGGGCAGAGGCTGATGTCATGGCAGCCTCAGGCAGCCCACTTGGGAGATGCCACTGGGCAGTAGTACAAGGTGCCCTCCCCACCTTTCATCCTGTGTTGGGGTCTCCCCTTGTCTATGCCAACAGGAACTTTTCCTTGTGAGTGACCCACCCACATCTGACTCACCAGTCACCTTGCAGGGAACTGGGAGAAAGCAGGCTGGAGGGTGGGGCCTGGGTTGAAGGGAGAAGTCAGGGCTCCTTCAGGTTAACAGCAGCCCCAGTCTCACCCTCCACCCCCAGCCACCCTGTACCCTCCAAGCACCATGGGGGGACATTACTAGAACTGAGTCCTGGCTCTGGCCCTGGGAGTCCTAGGGACCAGTTCAGCCCAGTCATGGGTCACTTGAAGCCAGAGCATTAGGCCACCCACTCACACCCCCATGGCCAGGCAGCTCCAGCCACGCGAGGTTACCTGTGGTCATGGCCATAAAGGTCTCAACAGCCTCAGAAGATCCAGCCCTTGAATGATAATAAAATAATGACAACTGCTGTTTACTAAGACTGTATGTGCATCGCTGCCCACGATGACCACCTGGGAGGTGGGCTAGCTCCATCCCACACATGAGGAAGTAAGACTCAGAGCGGTTCAGTGGCTGACTCCTGAGAGAACTGAGCCCATAGGTTAATTCCGGGCAGGGCTTGCCTCACGTCAAGCAGGAGGAATCGAGACTGAGAGGGCTGGCCTCAGGAGAGACCCACAGCATATGGTGAACTCGGGACAGAGAAGGACCTAGATCTGAATCCTTGTTCCATCATGAACCAGTAGTGTGACACTGTTCACTGTGCTCCTATCCCTATGGCAGTCCTACAAAACCCACTTCAAACACGTCACTAGATTTAAGGGAGCCTCTTGCATGCAGAAGGACCTCACACAGGTCCTTGCCATCCGTAGACCAAGGCCCCTCTAAAGAGCAGCAGTCACATCACCACCATTCCATGCATCTTCTTCACGGAAGTGACACATACCTCATGGCCACATTGCTTCCATCTATGACCACTGGTCTCAGGTCACTGCCCTCTTTGTCCTCCTCTGGGAGTGAGGGCTCAAGAGTAGGAGTCTTGGGGGTGCCCCCGCCGCGGGGCACCAGAGGCGGCTGCGGGCAGGGCTCTGGTGAGGACTGGCGCTCACGCTCAGAGGCTGAACCATGCTTCACCAGCTCCCCCAGTACCGTGTTGGTGTCTGCCTGGACGCCCAGCTTCTGCAGGACACTGTGTATCTCAGAGGCCGAATAGCCTAGCTTTCGGAAGAAGTCCACCTTCATCTGCAGCTCTGAAGAAGCTGAGGCATCCTCAGCAGCCAGCTCTGAGGCTGGCTGGGGGGTACCCCGACAGCTGTGGCTGTCCTCAACACCCCACAGACTCATGACGTGACTGGTTTCCCGAAAGGGTTTTTCTCCACAAGGGTCGCTCATATCTCAGGCTCCTGGAAGGCAACTGCCACGGCTCCTGCGGGAGAACCACAGGATTAGGGGTGGGGACTAGCACTGTCTCATCTTCTGTCCCACCTGTCCCACCCCACAGGATGAGGCAACACTGAACTGGCCAGCTTCCTTCGTGTGTCAGCTCAGGCTGTCTTTTCCAAAGCTCTCCCAGCTAGGGATTACCACTCCCATTACATACAGGGGTAAACCGAGGCACGGACAGTAGGAGCTGGCTCAAGGTCATCCAGCTGTTTGCTGGTGACACACAGTCGGAACTTATCTGACTCCTCCCCCAAGCTCCCCGCCACGCTAACTCTGGGGACTCAGGCGGGGCTCACAGATGGGAACCCGGGGCTGGAAGGGCTGGGGGAGGAGGGGCTTTCCCGTCCAGCCCGTCACCCGCTTCTGCCCGTCCCACAGGAGGCGTAGGGCCCATAGCTCTTCAGGCCGGCAGAGGGCAAATTTCTAGGGTGACCCACCGGGACAAAAGTTGCTGGGAGACTCTGGTTGGCTGCCGGGAGCCGGTGACGCCAACGATGTCCCGGCCCGGAGACCCGCGCTCCCTCCGCGCCCCCTGCCCTGGGCTCCCCCAACTTGGGCTGAGTTGGAGCGGTTCTGCGGACCGGCGTGGCCCGCGGCCCGGCCGCACGGCCGCCCTCCGCTCGGGCCCA